TTTTGTGCCAAGGAAATTAAAGGAACACTATAGAGTCAGGAACACAAACATGTCTTCCTGACCCTATAGTGCAAAACCCACCATTTAGGTGCACTGACAATGTAGCAGGGTTTTACACAGTGTAAAAAGAAGAAATGTGTATGTGAAAAATAATTCTCGAGCTGAAACATACTCGTACGTTACATCCCTCAAACAGAATGTCTCATTGCAAACTGCATTATAGTATGATGTATCTGTATTCCTGCAGATGACACACTGTACTCTGGGGGGGTAGCGAAGTTTATTTACTTGATTACAAGATACAGATGGTCTTTTTTACTAGATTTGTTACTTTTCTATCCCTCTAGATGGAAGAGAATAAGGGTTCAGTCAGCTCAGCATTTGACTTTGCTGAAAGCGAACACAGAGGGTCGGATAATAGACAATTGCTAGCTGATGATGCATCAATCCAGCAGTGCACTTGATCAGCCTAGGTAGTACATGAACTACTGCATTGTGGACCCTGTTTTGTGGAATGTGTACCACTATTGTCTCATCTTGTGGTCATAGTAAATGTGCTCACATTTCTCTTTAACGTCATTCCTGGTAGCGTTGTAACTAACATAACTAACATTTGCGTTGATGATTTTGCACTGATTGTGCTTGGAGACACATGGATCTGGCATTATGCTTTGTTTTGTTTTTTTCCCTTCATACAAACCCTTTGGGTTATTCAGTAGCAATCTAGAGGCAAGAGTGTGTAGGTAATTCATCTTTGTTTATTCTTCATTCTTTGAATTAAGTAAAGCACCTCCAAATTAACTAACCAGCCCCAAACTGGAGCCTGACCAAATGTAGTCTAAATGCCTTCCAAATGCCTCCTCAGAAATACCCCCTGAATTTCCTCTGAAATTGCTCTAACATATAAACAAAACAGTCCCACAAGCAATATTTTACTATGTTGTAATATGAACTTTTAAGTTAATCGGTGTGTTTTTAGGTTTTGTTTTTTAAATCTTGGGTTGCAAATTTTGTGGGTGGTAGCTTCTCTAGCATTTGAGTAGTTGACTTTCTATTGCCCTTTTTATAGGCTCCGTTTTGTGCCCTGACTTACGTATTTTACCTGCAGCAGGCCGCAGGTTAGCAAATATTGCAAATTCTGAGGAAATTCTGGGTTGGTTTTGTGTTTTAGTAAATGTGTAAATATTATGTATGGAATTTTGACTCACCCTGGGATAATTTTTCAGCCAATACAAGTTTTTCCATATTGATTTATTAAATAATGAGAAAATGGTGCCATGGCAATATCAGATTTAAATAAGCTATTTTTGGACAGCATTGCGGTAACATGAAACAATGTTACTTTTGTTTTTCCTTATTGATAATTAAGTACCTAGTAACATGTTTTCGCCTGACACTTTAGTATGTCTAGATTTGATTACTCTACTGTCCGCATTTCACATAAAAATAAATTGTAAATTATGCAGGTAGAGTTGCTGATGCCCCTCAACCCCCTTTGTCTGTCTGATGCAACACCTTTAGGTTTACATACCACAAAGCACTGGAAATTACACCATTGAAAAAAAAAGAAAATTACTTATAACTTTAGTTGGGTCCAGGCACAGCCACAGTGCACACTGCAAATGAGGAGACGCAATACAAACATTGTTTCATTTCTTATCTTCTCTGTATGATTTCTCTATGCTGACTGCCGGGTGCAAAGGACAAAACTTAGGAATACTATAGCCACCCAGACCACTTCATCTCCCTAAAATGCTCTGGGTGCATGGTCCCTGTCCACGTAACCTTGCAATGTAAAACATTGCAGTTTTGAGGGTTAAGTTCACCTCTAGAGGCTCTTCCGCTGCATAGACAGAGTATGATTCAATGCTTTTCAATTGGAAAGTTTTAAAGCAATGTGTGTGCACATTAGGTCCCCAATGCTCCCCTATTAGGAGCATTGGCTTGGACAACGCCTGACCACACATGGGAAAGGAGCACTGGATCAAGGTAGGTAAGTCTTGCACGGTGGGTTGCGACTTGTCTACAAGTAGGGGCAGAAATACTATATGGTGTTAGGAATACAGATTTGTATTCCTAATGCATTAGTTTTCCCTTAAGATGGAGGTGTGCAGTCCTTAGGATAGAGAGGGGTTATTTTTTACATTTAAAGCAGCACTATCACCATCTGGGATCTTTACATGGGATGTTGGAAGAAAATTGTCCCACTAGCCACAAGGGAAACTGCTTCCCTGCACCCAAAGGTATGGAAACAGGAGGGTGACCAAAAATACTTATTTATTGTTTTGTGTGTATCTGTGTTTAGCAGTGTAAAGATGTGGGGGTTTTTTTGTTTTTTTTTAGGGAGTGGGCGGAATGGTTTGCCTGGCGGTAGCAGGGGATGTGTATCTGTTGGTGTGATCTGAGAGAACATATCTAAGTGTGTTTGCGTTTGTATGTGCATGTACATCAATGGGAGAATGTGCCACGTGTGCAACATCATAGTTTGTAAGGGTCCCTGTGATTTCAGGTTGGGTTTGGTTAGGGCAGCAATAATAATGTCATTTAACTCCACAAATGACAGATAATTAAGCAGTGAGACTACAGGGAAATTACCTATTCACCAAAACCACTTCATTTAAGGTTGTTTTGGTGCTTAGAGTGTCCCTCTAATTTTATTTTCACCTCTCACAAATATGTATTTGCAAAATATAGAGGATAAGATAACAAATTAAAAATAATACTGGATGCTTTTTTAACCCCTTAAGGACCAAACTTCTGGAATAAAAGGGAATCATGATATGTCACACATGTCACGTGTCCTTAAGTGGTTAAGGGCAACATTGGATTGAATGCTTTTTCTGTGAAAACTATTCACGTTGTTTTGTGATGCGGACTATAAAGATTTTCAGTTGAATGTCTTACGTGAGAGAGTGTATCTAGTGTCTATCTGTGTCACAGCCACTAGAGGCATGTTCATGGTCAAATGTAAATATTGGCCTTTTTCTGAGATCAGTGTTTTACATTGCCACAAAAAGGAAAAGGGTCATTAACCCCTTAAGGACACAACTTCTGGAATAAAAGGGAATCAAGACTGAATATTTCCGTCATTTGTCTTTAAGGGGTTAAGTTGAAGTGTTGTTTTGAGCTGTATAATCCCTTTAAGCAATTGACTTTTAAAACATTCCTTAGTAGTCATAGCGTTAATATACATCGCAAATTTATCTATTGTTATACTTCAACTTAATTACTTGGTACAAAAAGACAATTTCATTATTTGTTTTATCAAAAATATTCTTACTGTGAAATATGATGAACATTCCTAAAAGCAGTCATCATCTGTAAACCGGTAGAATGGTTTCATGGAATATGTATGTAATATTTGTTTATGCCGCCTATATATAGCCTGGGTTATTTCTCCTTGCATATCTTGAGGGTAGTTGATGGATAACATATAAGATTAACAATGAATGACATCACTTTTTTCATATATCTAATACAATTGGCATCTAAATCTAAAATAATCTACAAAACATTTATAGTTCTCTTGGTAATGGCAAGTGATCGGTGTTCGAGTCAGTTGACATTCAGCAGTGACTTGGTGATTTATAGGTTCCGTGTCTATTTTGAAGGGTTTTTTTGTTTGTTTTTTTCATGACTGATATTTTTGTCTGTTTTTTTCACCCTTCTAGCATGTCATTTCATAACTTGTGACCTAGATGAACCTGATTGTAAACATTTATAACAATACATTGCTGTCCTATTTCTATTTCCTTACCAGCTTACTGAGACAGGATCAGGTATCAACTGCTTGGACTCAATGTGCTGCTACACAGGCGGGGAGACAGCATGCGTGCCTATTAGAAGACTGCTGGAACGAATGATAGGGCGATGCAACCCAGCCCGGTTCAGCAGGTGTGGAACCTCTCTAAATAGCCTTTGCTGCCAACGATTCTCCTATAAACTGGAAAATGATGAACCCACAGCTTTAGATGAATAGCTAGGCTTTTGCTTTTACATCTCGCTTGAGGGTGTGATCGATCAGGTGTTTTCCATAGCTTTCAAACAAGCAAAATAAATGGGTTTTGAAAGAAAACAAAACATTTTTTTTTTTAAATTGTACTTAATTTCCAATTATTTTTTGTATATGTTTTTTATATATATATATAATTTGTGTTATATGTATGTGTCTGTTAAAATTGTTCGTCTTGCTTGTTTATATTTTATTTTGCTGGCACCTTCTCTGCATAAGTCAGAATTGGGCAGTGTAACATCTTGGTGTGTAAATCATTAGATTTCATGGACTTTTTAAATTGGTGTTTTTTGGGCTCTGGTTTTTTGATGATATTCAAAAGATTCTGTTTATAGTCATAAATACTTGGCATAAATTTACAAGCACCTGCACTTACAAAACTGCAGTGCAAATAGCTGCAAGCCCACTACTTTCTATTTAAAACACATGCTGTCCAAGGCATAGAAAATGATTTCATTTGTTTATACTGATCCATGTATGGATGAGCTGTAGCGCATGTCCTGAAACAAATCTTTTGTATATCACCCTCCTCTGTGCTGTCAATATCTCATTCATTGCTTGTGCTTAGAAACTATATTTGGGGCTACTGAAAGTGATTCTTAATATCTGCTCAATGCTTTTAACTGGGTAATGTGATATTCACATATTTAATGAACAAAACAAAAACAGGTCCCATAGTTAAACTTATTATATATATATATATATATATATATATATATATATAATATGTGTGTTCTCTACTCGTTGCACCATCCCCACCCATTTATTTTTCAAAGGCATATGTTGAATGTTGTCCAGCACGTCACTGTGCCGTTTGCTGAAATGGCATTAAACCGCATGAGCGGTCCAACCCCTTTTTCTTCTGGTTTTGTTCGTTCTTTTACCTGTTAATGTATATTTCAAATAAGCAATATGCAATCTGTTTGTTTTATAACCGTAGGCATAAGCTTACGGCACCTGAGGTTCCTAGTTGGTCTCCCATACAAGTACTAACCAGGCCCGAGTCTGGATGGCTTCTGATCTCGTCCGATATCAGAAGCCATCCAGATTCGGGCCTGGTTAGTACTTGTATGGGAGACCAACTAGGAACCTCAGGTGCCGTAAGCTGATTGTTTTATATTTAGAACAAAATCTACAGACAATAAAATACATATTTTTTTGGAAATTGTGTAGAAAAAGTGTCCATGAGAGTAAATATTTATATGGGACTTGTATACAAAGTGTAATTTTTTTAGCATTCAGGTATCTTCATTTTCATAAATAAAGGCATCCTTTTGCAAAATGACAAATGATCTTTTGTTTGGCCACAATGCAAATAGTTTCTCTATATTAGTAGGTTGTTTGGTTTTTTTATTCGGCAAATCAGATTTTCGCCTAATGCTGTTCTATCTTGGTCTGCTGGGTTGTCTTGATCTAAAAGCTCTGCGCTGCATAATTCGTTGCTGCACATATCCCAAAGTCACTATATTCTAAGTCTTATTAAATGCCTCAGATTTCACACAGTAGCAAATAATAATTATTCAGTAAAAATGCCCAATTCATTCTATTTTGTTTACCATGGTTGACATGGCAGCAGAAGGCAAATAAAGAAACTAAACAATTGCATTTTTTATTGTGAAATCCGCTTAAATATTGACTTAGACTAAATTGGTTCCTGGGGGCAGCAACCTTTCTCTTATAATCACACATCAAAATGAAAATTCTATATATAAACATATTGGTAAGAGTGTCACAATACAGCAGTGTTGAAGGTAGGTAATTATGCATATGATCAGTTACTCGTTTTATATTTGAAGATCAGAAAAACAAGCCCTTCTTCCTCTGGATTGATAGCAAAACAACTTGACACCGGTAATATTGTTTCACACATTTTTGGATTATTTTATGTGCATTATCAGGCATACTCTTTGTGAAAACCATATAAACTCTTGCAATGTCTTGGATATAGGCCTGGTTAAAAATGGCTGTCATGTCTGGCTGCACTAGCATGAATTGCCTGCAACCTTTACTTTTTCACATCACCATTTGTTATTGTGCAAATGGAGAGTTGTGTCCCATGCAATCTGAAATGTGACCATCTGCTTATTATGTGCAATACACTTTTTTTTTTATTTTTTTTTTATATATGATCATAATTCTGAAGTGGTATAGGGAATGGTTCCAGCAAACATTCCATGCTGTAATGTGCACTCTTTCCAATTTTTAGGACGTAAACATTAATTTTGTAAGACCTTTCTCTTGGTTCTTTCTCTCTCACAGTTGGGCTTAATAATCAGTTCCCATCTTCCAGGCATATCTACAGGTTATTAGGCTGCTACTTTAAGAAAAGGACCTACTCTAAGAAAATTAACCTTTAGTTTTTAGTTTTAACCCACAGGTAACTTGGGCTAGTAAGTTCTTGAATTATGGTCTACTTTGCATGTATAATACTTACCACAGATTAAATGAACACTCTAGTCACTAGAACTACTACAGCCAAATGTAGTGGTTCTGGTGTCTACAGCATGTCCTTGTAGGCTGAGCAATGAAAAGGCAGTGTTTACATTTCTGCCTAGTAACACCTCTAGTGGCAGTCACTCAGACAGCAACTGAAGGTGCTTTCTATGTCAGTCCTGCGTTTTGTGCGGCACCCACATTTAGAGTCTTAGGAATTCCACATTCAATTATGTGAAATTAAAGTCTTCGGGGAGATTTATTTTCACAGTGCTGGCAGAGGTTACTTGTTTGCCATTTTAAAAAAAGTTTGATAAAGGGTCACTATAAGCAGTATAACCACTACAGCATGGGTTAGTGCAGGGCTGCCTTAAGAGGTAGATCCCCAGATGTTGTAGAACTACAACTCCCATGGTGCTTTGCAAGCCTTTAGACTTAATTTAGAATGACAACGAATCAGGGGAGTAGTAGTTCCACAACATCTGGGGATCTACCTATTGGGCAGCCGTGGTTTAGTGGATAGGGTGCCAGGAGTCCCCTAGCATAATGATACAGTAAAATGAAAGAAAAAAAAAATCTTCAGAACAGTGGGTGACTTATCTGCATGTTTCAAACGCTCTCTGTCCATCTGGTCTGAACTGGTATGGTAAAGCAAAAGTTTACACTTCTCCATTATCATAGCAAGCTGAGGCATAATTTGACCATGAGCATCTGCTGACATACTCAGCCACTCAATTATCCAGTTTGGGGGTTAGTACGGTCATTTGGAAGTATGAATTTCTGCTTTTTCATACCAGCTCAGGCCAGAAAAATGGACACCCAACACACAGGTATGTGTCACATGTCTTTTACAAGCTATTGTTTCATGGTAGTTATGGTGCTTAGAGTATCCCCTTAAGGACCAAACTTCTGGAATAAAAGGGAATCATGACATGTCCTTAAGGGGTTAAGTTAATTCCTAGTATCAACTTTCCCAAAAGTGTTTTTTTTTTTTGTTTGTTTGTTTAAATAAGTTGTAAAGTCTTAACAATATATTAATGTTCCAGGTGGGAAGCCCTGGAACATGATTAAAGTGGATTTGTCATGTGTGGGATTGATTATTTAATATTTCATTGTTATTCCTTAACACAACCTAAATTTAATTTCTATGCATACCTTAGCAGCCTCAATTAGTGTCACTTTAAAGTTCTTATACATATGGAACGCTCATGGGTGTTAAGTTCTAGTATACCTGTTATTTTTAACTGTCACTCAAATTATGACCAGTGACAGCTGGCAACACAAAGCAATGAAGTCATCATCAATTAAGATGGTATTGTGACTGAGCATTTCTAAGACTTCCTTAATAGTGTTGGGAATAGGAAATAGTTTTACGTAAAGCTCAAACATAGGCAACAAAATTGAATTAAAATCCACACTAAACAGGTATTTGTTTATAAAGGTAAATATTGTGTTATAATCCCAAACATGACTATTCGACTTTAATGTATTCTCTAATGCGCTATTGTCATCAGTGTGCAAACAAAATACCTCACAAGCATACAGTCTGCATATTAACACTTGGATACAAATTGTCCTGAACAGTACTCACAATTTATACAGTATCCTCGTTTTGCAACCTACCTGTTTTACGAAGGCTAGCACTTCAGGCTAGCTCTCTCCCGGGGTGGTTAGTGCGAGCCGTCGTGGGAGTTAGAGGGATCCCCTGCTCTGCTGCATTTATCTATGTTAGGAGACATTTCCCTGAACATAAACAAGCTCACCAGCGCAGGGAATCCCTTAACTCCTCACTTACCGACCAATTCGTACTACGACTGGGGTCGTAGGAACGGAACCCGGTAAGTGAGGAGTACCTGTACTTGTGTTTAAAAAAAAAAAAATCACATATATATATTAGCTGGCCATAAAAAAAATCAACGTTTCAGTTTGTTACACACGAACTTTAATCAGTCCTGATGAATCATGTTTTACCTGCAGTTACCATCGTTATTTTCAAAGCTGAAGAGGACAAGGACAGATAAGTACACATTTTCATAATTAATATGAGAGGTTTTTTTCTTTTTGTTACTTTAGATCTTGGAGTGAAACGGAACCCTGCTATTCAAATGACAGAAGCATCTTGACTCTTTCCGCCATGGACTCTTCCACATGCTAGCAGAGGTGGCCTCAGAGTCACAATGTGCTTCCAGCATTTATTTTGTAATTTATGAACCTAAAATATGTATGATCTAGCATCAGCAGACTCCAATATAGTTCAGATAATTTCTAAGAGTTTGGATGGTTAACCTCTATGAATGACATGAGACGTTACGTGGCCCAAACAGTATGTATATCCTCATAGGTTTGGAACTTCTGTTGATATCCAGCATATTGCACTTTGTAGTGTGTAGCATTTGCAATAAACTGATAGCAAGTTATTTACAGTTAAAAGAAAAAACAATTCCTGTACATTTTTCCGCATATTTCTGTAAATAAGGTTTTGTTTTTGTAAGAACATTATTTTTGCAAAACTTAATATATTTTGCAACCCATATGAAGTAATATGGTAAAATGAGCTCCACGATATGCAGGCATATTTTGTAACATATATAATATATATATATATAAATGGTACTGTTATTCCACAAATGTTATTTTGGTGAGTGCTGGCATAGATTGTTCCTGTGAAAAATCTTTTATATAACATTTTAACATATGACGGAAAAATAAAAACAGTATGTACCATTGATCTTATTAAAAGATCAAATTTCATATCTTCATGTTCATATAGTTAGCCCACAAATGAACCAAATGAATGTTACAATACCGAAGTCAAAATGGGACATCTACCATTTACACAATATGCTATAACCTTCTGTTTAGTTGCAAAAAAATCATATATTTTCTTCACTTTTAATTATTATTTTTTTCTAAATAATTGCATAAATTTTCTTAGGATTTGAAATTGTCTTTGTTCTTCTACATAGTAGTCTTGTTCCAACCTTCTAGATAGAATATACCGTGAATAGAGAGGTATTTTTCTAGGTCACATTAATTTTGGACTTTTCTACAACACATTTTAAAAGGTCACTATCGTCATCAATACAACTTTAGCTTAATGAAGCAGTTTTGGTGTATAGATAATGCCCCTGAAGTCTCAATGCTAAATTCTCTGCCATTTAGGATTTGTCGCTTTGTTTACACACCTCCCTGCATGTGACTTGCACAGCCTTTTTAAATACTTCCTGTAAAGAGTCATCTAATGTTTACACTTTCTTTATTGCAAATTCAGTTTAATTTCAAATTTCTTATCTCCTGCTCTGTTCATAGATTGCTATATCCTGCAGGAGTCTCCTGTGTGTGATTAAAGTTTAATTTACAGAGCAGGAGATACAGGTTTACAGAGCAGGAGATACTGATTGAAAGTGAACCCGTTTTTTTTCATGCAGCCAGGAGAGGTGTTGGAGGGCAGCGTAAACAGAAACAAAACGGATTTAACTCTTAAATGGAAGAGAACTGAGCAGTGAGACTTCAGAGGCATGATTTGTACAACACAACTGCTTCATTAAGCTAAAGTTTGGTGACACTAGTATCCCGTTAAATATGAATCTGTTTTATTGAAAAAAAATTCAGATAATGTTTTTAAAGTACCATTGTTTGCTGCATATTTGTTTCTCTGTTTACATTGTAATGAA